ACACACACACACACAAATAGGCTAGCAAGCATATACAAACAAATATAATAAAAATATATAAAAAAGCTGCCCAATCTACGCGTTAAAAACAAACCACCAAAACACCAAAGAGATACTTATTTTAGCAATTGTGCAAATATCCTTGTACGGTGGAAAGTGCCGTTCTAGCTTTTTTGTCAGGGACATGCTTCAACCTAATGAACGGATTACTGACGTGATCAGAGTTGGCCACCCAGACAAATCTCACCAAATTGGACATAGTCATCATAGGATAGCAGAATCTAATCATTTTGAGCCACCAGTAACCTGTTGACTAACTTGTTGACAAATTACAACCTGCCACCAAAAACAAACAACAGTCTTGATTCTGCTTTTCTGCTACAATAGATAAATACTGTGCAACAAAATTGCGTATGCAAACAAACAACTGAAACTGCATCCGAAAGGCACAAACGAGGCACTAAAAGGCACACAACACTTTTGATCTTTTCTTCCAAGTAAAATACAAGTATATATATATATATATATATATATATATATATATATTTTTATGGTGCAATTTGTTTAGCGCGTTTTTTAGTAAATAAAGTTTTGCTAATGGATAATGCTTAGGTAATCACAAAAATGTTTCAGTAAATGTTAAAGACCTTAATTGACAAGTTCTGAAAAACTTTATTATCAAATTACAAATGTAAGTTGAAGAAAGATACATTTAGCATTAAAAATATAAATGTTCTGGAAACGGGCTTAAAAGATGCAACCCTCCAAACATGCCAACTGTATAATTTGCCTCGTCAGAATAAACATTTTCCAATAAATACCTCCTTTTGATACTCTTTTATGTTCGTTAGCTTTACAACAAAGTTTTCAATTTACTTTCTGCATGTCTAAGTCTTTCATTATATACGCGCTGCACTGTGTAACAGTATCTAAAAGTATCGGAGCCAGCACCTAATGAGAGGAAGACTTCTCTTATAAATAAATAAAAATAATAATACTTGTAAGAGTGATATCAACACAATTCAAACGTCAATTTAAAGAGAAAATTATGAATATTTATGAATAATAAAATACCACAGAACTATTTTTGACTGCAAAATAGTTCCGTGTCCCTTTGATAGCGATGTTTTGAAGAAACAACTATCCCCATCTTCAGGTACATAAAAGACAATAAAATCATAGTGTAATGGTTAATGTTACATTTGCATTCACACTTTGTTTAAATTTTGGCGCCTAACATCTAATGAACCTAAGTCTTCCTTGACACAAACGTGCACCAAAAACACTTCTCCCTATTGTACGTCACACTACTTTCAACTGTTTTTGAAGTTAAATAAACAAATTCAGTTGAAGCATGTACATTTTTCTAGCCTCACGCACTAGAGTTCTAGGAAACGGCAGGGTCTTCCCCAAGCTTTGCTGATATACGAGCCACGTCTAAGGGTATATTCTGGCCCAACTTTAAGTGTTCGTCATTGGCGACAAGATTCAGTGTATTATTAAAATCAGACATTGCAACACTGCACACTCCTTGGCGCGTACCAATCGTACGTATACTCCTATTTAAACATGGTGACACTTCAAGACGGTAAATGGGGGCTTCCAATGCCAGCTTCCGGAGTTCCAATGCCAAAAGTCGTAAAGAAACTTTCAATTTTTTTTTATTCTCCTCTCCGTCCATTTACTATTTATTGAGATGAGACTGGCTGACACGAACCATACGAAGATTTAATAAAAACACAATTAATAATAAAATAGGGACACCCGGAATTTTTTATTTACTGGAAGATTTTATACAGACCTTATGACACGACCACGGGAAAATAATATAAGTGACAAGAAACTTAAAACTATAAGAACGTAAAAACCTATTTTATGGTCTTTATTTGGAGTGGAACTTTCTAGTATTAGATCAATCAGAAATTAATATTTTATGCAATTAGTTTATAATGTTAAACTTTATTGCATGAGTTAAGGTTTTGAAAGCGAGCGGCCTGAGAAGCGAGTTTTCAAATTTGTACGAATGCAATAAAGTAACATTAAATGAGTTGCATACGCTATTTTTTTGTATAACAGCATTGTAAATTTATAAGACAATCAAACTTAATTTTGCAACAGAACTTTCTTGTGACGTCTCGAGTATTTGACATCTGTGCGAGAAAACTGTAGTTGGTTGTTCCATTTACTTTTACTTCCCCCGATTTTCTGGCTGTGATTGGCTGAACGTGTGATGACGCAATCATTCATTCCGTAAAATGCTAATACATCATTTGTCAAAGGTCGTTTTTTGTAAGCTAACATTATAAACAATCTTTTCTGTTGTAAGAAATCGTTCATTATCGGGCATTGTAATGGGACGGTCGCACATCGCGAATGACACGAGCAATAAATATATTTTATTTAATTAAGAACCGCGCCGCCGTTAAGAGCAGCCGGAAATGCCGTTTCCTGCTGTACCTGAGTAAGAGAGCCGATTAGCGAGCCCAAGGAAAGGAGGAAATAGCGCCTCCCTTGTTCAGCGAGACCCACGCTGGGCGCACCCCTTATGACGTGGGGAAATACACCACCCACACCCCCTTAACCGAGCAACGGAATTACCCGCCCCTATTTCTGAGAATTTAGGTGACGGAGGACGCTTCGGGGGAGGTTGCTGGGGGGCGGCTTCGCCGCTGGCGCCGTGATAGGCGGAAGAATTACGGGTGGCGCGACAACCAATAAAAGTAGACGATGCGGGGGAGGAATCACGTGGTACGCGAGCCTTCCTGAAGGACCGCAGATGAGAGGATCGATCACTTGTGTCGGAGGTAGTGAGGAGGACACCTGGATCGGAGGCAGCCGCGACATGACTTGTTTATGAGGCAGTAGCGAGGCCACTTAATTCGTGCCTGGTCGCCCCGAATGCCACGCCGCCTCGCCACATCGCAGCCCGACTCGTGTGACGACAGCCAGATGATGGGACAGGACACAACTAGTGAGTGCCTGACCGAGAGGGCCATGTGAGTACGAGCCGGGGACGTGAAAAACTATATCGCGAAACCACCCGTCATCGCCCGGGCGCGTTCCCGCCGCCATCCGCGCCGAGCACGCTGAGGAGCCGCCGGTCGACGCCCGCCGCTGGCCTAATCCGGGGCCGCCACAAAGGGACCTGGGGCAAGCTGACCGTCGACGCCCGCTGCCAGACCTGCCGGGCGCTGGGATGCCCGAACGCCGCACCTGTGAGCTGGATCACGACCGCCCGGGAGGGCAAAGACACCGGAGCTAAGATGAACTCTGGCGATACCGGCCGTTACTAAGTTAAGATTAGTTTTAAGTTAGTTGTAAGTTATTCATGTTACTGGGCTTCACCCACACCCAATACTAAAGTGATTAAAGTAGTTTTATGAAAATGCCTGTCTTTCTCTCACGTAGTTAGGCAAGCATGCATGCCTCCCTCTAGGGAGCCTGCCGACGAAGCAGACGGGCAAAGCTGCATCGCCGAAGGAATCAGGTAATCGGGTAAATCGGTGGTTACGGCATTTTACGACACAAACGATGACGATCATATCTTATGGCACGAATGATTGCGTCGTCACACATTTAGCCAATCGCAGTGAAAGAATTGTAGGGAGGTAGAGGTAAACGGAACAGCCGACCACAGTTTGTACCTATGTCAAATACCCAAGACGTCACAAGAAAGTTGTTTCACAAAATTAAGTTTAATTCTTTTGTAAATATATAATGCTGTTATACAAAAAAATGGCGTATGCAACTCGTTTATAATGTTGCTTTATTGCATTCGTAAATATTTGAAAACATGTACTCATGCAATAAAGTTTAACATTATAAACTAATTGCATAAACTACTATTATAATGCTGATATACAAAAATATGCATTATTCTAATAACACAAACATGGCCTAAAAAAGCAACAAAAATGAAATACTAATGAATAAATTGGGAACAAAAAATATAAAAACTTACTCTGGTTGATCCCACACTGCAGATTCCGGAATTTTGTAGTGGTTCTCCTCAGTCATGTGTACTAATAGTTCCTTTTTGATACCAAATGCTTTGTCACAATATGAACATTTTAAGTTATACATTTGAAGACGAATGTAATTCACTAATTTGATCTGAATAACAGAAAACAAGACAAACATACCTATATCATCATAGTCTCAATAAAATATAACACAACTAATGTTAAAATATCACTGTTTACAGTAAGTGCACAGACTTTTCAGAAAAATGTACATAAAACAAAAATGAAGATAAAATCACATTACTTGGCCTCCCTGATCTTCACATCAATTTCTGGAGTGTAGGTCATTGGACTAACACCAAAATAATAGACCTATTGTTCAGGCCAATCTTTCATCAGGACTACAATATTAGACAGTGGTAAAGAAGTTTCAAGTTTCAATAATATTATTTATATTCACTAGTATGAACATACACGAAAAACTAACTTCCAAAAAGTACCGACACAACAGAAAGAAAAGAATTTTAGAGTGAATATAAGAAAGTATTGAAAAGAAAGCACAAGAATTCTGTCAGTATGCACAGTATGAGAAAAGGCAGAATAATGTAATCAAATATTTTTTCCGACAAAATTTAAACTTTCATTTTTTTGTGTAGTTTTCCTAAGCTAGTTTTTCTAATGAAACTATCAGCACCTCTCTCACGGGTGGAGGGGCATTGTTTTTTCAATTTCTGCATGCATTGGAAAAGAGTAAAGTAGAGGTTTTTGGATTTACCCCAATTTTCTGGATATCTACCACAACCACAAGCACCTTTTAAAACACTGCAAGGTTTTCAGTCAATTTCTGTATGCATTGGAAATGGGTTATGTTGATAGTATATTAATAAATTACCAGAAAATTTTGACTACAGAGGAATTAGGGAAGCAAGGGATGATATTCTGCACCATCATAAACATAGAGGGTTCATACTATTATGTGTGTTTGTTTCATAAAACCATAATTTGAATCAATGCTTCCGTGTACTCACTGAATGGACCACGTTAACTGCACCCTCATCCCCATCATACTTGCATGAACTAATTTGCACTAATGGTACAGATAGATATAGCATATGAGTCATTCAAATCGTCATCAAACACAGTTTTGACCTTAAGTGTTTGAAATTGATTGAAACTTCTTGAATGTGAGGTTAACTAAAAGAGGCTTTAATATTTTTGTTAGAATTTAACTTCATTATTTTGAATTTATGCTGCATGAAATTTTCAATATAAACATATGCACCAACACATAAAAATGATTATTTCTCCTGCCACATTGATCATACAGAACTAAGGTGTCTCAAATAAAAGATCAAACACAAGTACTTAAGAATATTTACAGTTTGATTTAATAGTTAAATATCAATAATTAATTAAATTTCAATTAATTATAAAAAAGTCAATTTAACAAAAATTAAATTCAATTTTTAAAATAATATTATATACTCAGTTTAATGAACTTCAAATGTGCAAAATTTCAAATTGGGATATTTATAAATTACGTAATTAAAAATATTATTTGAACCCATCTAAAAGTCTTAATGAAAGTCTTAAGTGTAATAACAATTTCTGAAAGCCCAAAGCATGGTAAAAATGCAGTTCACTTCTTCCGAAACATTTCATCGAATTTTTAGAAGTTGACGTAGGTAATGTCAAAAAAGTAATATATTTTTCAGATGGAGCAGTGCGCAATATACAAACAGAAAAAAGTTTGTAATTTAAGGTTTTCATGAAAACGATTTAATGTGAATTCTGAATGGCATATCTTGGCCACTTCCCATGGGAAAAGGCCTAGTAATTGAATTGGTGACACCTCCAAAAGATTGTCAATGCGAGAAAATCTTCAGCTTTCCTAGCAAATCCCCATCATCCAATTACGATACAACAGAAATTATTTGAGTGGGGAAAAAAGTGTTAGTGGTATTCACTTTAGGTTTTTGACATTGATGACCAGAATAATAATCAGAGTTACTGAAATCCCAGTATGAAAAATAAAATTAGTTATACAAAAATACACTTTCATGGATCTATTATTAACTTTTGTAAAACGCATATCAATGACTGAATGGATAAATATGAACTTCAACTACTACTTCTCCAATTTCAACTACTCATTCTTAACATTCTCACTTTAATGATAAATAGACTGAGTGCATTTGACTTCATACAGCGCGAACCTGGATGCCACTGCCCTCCACATGCCAGATGTTCGATTGGGACATTTTTTGCAACTGTATTTATGAATATCCCATTCTAAAATTTTGCACAATTATACATTAAGATGTAGGGGATATAGTGGAATTTTTTATATGTAAAAAAATTTTGTGAATTTAAAAAATATTAAAATTAAGATGTTATGGAGTTAAAGTTAAAATGCTATGGAAAATAAAAAATTCAATTTATGTATTATTTTAGTTATTACAATAAAAAGTCATGTTATAATCTATAAAATGAAGCTAGTTTGGATTTTTATTTTTTTAAATAAATGAAATATGAGCATTTATATAGGACTATTTATTTATTTATTTACTTATGTCAAAAACAGTTGAAAACTGTGTGTGACGTGCTATGGGGAGGAGTTAATTTGAAGTTACATTTATGTCCAGAAGCAAAACAAAGGGACATCTCAGCATTTACTCGAGGATCAGGGAAACTGGACGCAAACCTGATCGAGATGGGGGAATTGACCCAGAAGGTGAAGTACAATATTTGTTACAGGCTAGTTTGCAATTTTTATTTACTCTGAAGGAATACAACTTTTATGAAAATAAATCATGACACCTGTCTCTTTCCCCCATATTCATATTAAGAGAAAAATGTTAGTGAAACATGTTTTAAAAGAAATTAGGATACTGTACACCCCATTGTTACCACAGTGGTGGTTCCCAAAACAGATCAAATCACTAAAAGTTTTTATCTTTTGAAGAATATGCTGTGACGAACCAAACCTTCTACCTCGAAAAACATTTTTGAATTCTATATATACATAATATGTAATTAGATGTACTAAAAAGGACTATTTATATGTGTAAGTTACCTTGGTGGTTTATTACAAGAGAAGTTTTTATAAATTTGTTTGGTGGTGTTGTGTGAATATTTCTTTTCTCATAGGGTTTTGGTTTGCATTCATAAAGTTACAAAAAGTAATGTCAATACACTGACATGAAACATACTAAAGTCTAATTATTTAGCCTCATGAAAGTGGAATATAACATTAAATGTAGCTGTGAACAATTAGTCATATTTTTCTTTCCAATGGCCTACATCCAATATATTGATGGTTAAAGAAAATGAATATATTTCTCAACAACTGTGTAAAAAATATCTTCTTAAGAGATTTACATTGATTTCCTTTTGCTTAAAACTTCAATTTCAGATTCACCTTGATTGAGACACTGAAGTTTTTAGGTTTTAAATAAAAAAATTTCATGTTTTTTTAACTTAACCCTCAACTACTGTAGAATGGTTACTAATACAAATTTTAAAGCATCTTTTGCAAGTTGATATGTAAGGGAAATTTTCTGAAACACCACTCTTATCTTATTGTAAGGCTACCGAGATCTTGATAGTCAGTTGCTTGTATGCATTCGTTTTTGTTTGTTTTTTCATTTATAGAAGTTGGTCACAGTCACTGTCACAAAGAGGCATATCTAGATATTCAGTCACGCAAGGCAAGCAAAGAATTTGTGCTCCAGGGAGAATACTTCAAAATAGAGTTGTTATTAATTAGAGTTATTATTAGGAATACTCTAAATAGCGCCCCCTGCGAATGGCATGTGCCATGTTTGCTGCTAAATATGCCCCTGCTGTCATGGAGTCCCACACTAATTGTTTGTGCAAATTTTCACACTGGCTTTTGCAATGAAATTAGGACAAAGCACATCTTAACATGCTTCCTTATCAAATCCCAACTTCGAGAAAGTTTCTGACATGATAAAATTCGAAGCAATCATGAATTGACAGAGATGAATATTGTGCTACAAGTGACGAGTATGGGGGCTCCAAAACACATTTGGAAAATTGGTGAATTGAAGTTATTATTGTAGTTTCTATGTTTGTTCCTATTGTTTGAAGTAGTATCTCGGAATATATTTACAGAATTTTCTTTTTTTTTTAATTGGCAGTATTAGAATTGTTTTTGAAGTCTTAGCCCACTACATAAGAGGTTTTTAGAAAATCAAAAATGTTTGCATGTCTACATTTCTAACAAGTTCCATGTAATTTTCCAGAAAACAAATAGAATGTACTGTGATTGTTCACCAATTACAAAATCACATTCATTCTTCTTTCGTTCTTAAAGAAATATTTAAATGACCATACTATGATGTTTATGTGACTCGTATAGCACTATGTTATATAAGGGTTAACTGAGATATTCAGAAGTCCATCATTAACTACAAACAAATTACCTGTTGATAAAAATTTAAATTGTACGAACTGCAGATATCCTTATATTGAAAACCGTGACTTTGAGACATATGATCTAAAGTATCTTCAAAATTAGATCTTCCTTCATCACAGAAAAGGCACACAATTTTAGGCTCTACATTTTCCTCCTCCCAATCTGACCAATCTGTTCTGTCATCCAAAACATCAGGTTCATCGCGTTCATCCTGGGCAAGTACAAGAATTAATAACAGCAAAAAGAAATGATGGTTGAACTTTACTGCAGAAAGGCCACTCTACTTGATTGTGTTTTTTGTATAACAAGTTCTTTTTGGTACAAAGAAAGTAAAGGTATCTCAAAATAATATTTATTCCAAAAAGTGCAAAATTCAACTCATTTTTATAACAAAACACTTTTACGTCAAGTTGATTCACTTGCAAAAACCCTAGCCCATGGATCTTTGGTCTCTGAAATTTCATTGAACAATCTCTATCTACCAAACATAATATTACCAATTCATTTTATGCCAGAAACCACAAAAGTAACAAATATATTATCATCCTCTCCATTGTTCTCACACTGCTTCAAGATAAAGTGACCCAAGTAAAGTAAAGTTCGGCTCTAAAACACACTGGTAAACACACCACCAGCAATCCTTTCAAGTTCTCTGCAAATCAATTTTTAATAATTTCATAAAAATTTTAGTGTGTTGTCTGTACCTGCACTTCTTGCCAATTCTTTCCCATTTCCAAATAATTCACTACATAAAAACGATCGTATGACTTGTTATTTGGATTTATACGTTTATGTTGCTTTTTCCTCATGTGCTCCTTCAAAATGTTTCGTTCTTTGAAATAGCCTTCACAAAATATGCACTGCAATCTAAAAAAAATTATTTATATGAATTTTCAGTTCCCTTCATTGCAAAATTCAACCTCTCTTGTCTTTGAAATATGATTAGACAATGTTCTTCAACAACTCTTCATAAAAGTTTGCTCTGAACATGACAGTAATGCAAACTGACCAACAACTTACTTTTCCATCATATTTTCAACAGCATCAAGCAATTTATCAGTAAACACCAAATTTTCCGGAGAACCTAGATGCAAATTATGCTTTTCATGTAAATGAGTGAAATAATCAGCTCTTCGTCCTTCAAAATGTAATCTACACATTATACACGATCGGGATATTGGAGTTTCCCTTTCTTTCGCTTGAACATCTAAAATCCATTCCTGTAAAAAACATAGGAAAGATGAAATTTTCATTATAAAATTGCCAAGAAATTTCCCACTTTCATTCCCTGGTCCATATAAGATTTTAACTTATTCTTCAATTCCACTACGTACGAGACGTTTCTTTTGAAGACCTTCTCTCAGTAATTTGTCTTCTGGAACAATATCTGATAGCAAAAAATATTCTTCCTTTGCACCACTTCCATTGTCAGTATCACACAACATAGTTGTACAAAAATATGGTAAGGGCTTTTCCGCAAAACGTGTTCTCCAATAATCTGCATAACTGGAAAGTAAATTATCAAAATGTCGCTACAAAAGACAAGGCGCTGTTTGAAACTCATTTTATATAAATAGTATATAATGTTTCATATATTGGTTAATAAACACCAAATAATATATAAAATATATTTATTTTCTTATTCAAATTAAATGGTATGCAGTGGAAAGTTGAATTCTGTTCTACAAATAGTCCTTGATATAAAAATTAAAATTACATTACAATCCTACAGTGACCCAGAAAATTGAATGTTTCATGCAGTTGGTTTTATTTATCTCATTATTAAAACAAAAATTAAGTTGGTATTGAATGCTCATAGCGAGAACCAAAACTTTCAGTAAAGTAACTGCAACTGCTTTACTATTAAACAGCAAGCAAATTCAAAACGTTTTTCTCTGTTGATGCGTTTTCATCAGCCTTTCATATTATTAGTGGACGAAAAATAATTCATATATTCAGTTTGTCTCAATATTTGTTGGAAAACAAACATTTATCTTACCTTTTCAAACAAGCAATATTATCCACATCTGCAATTACAAACTTGTGAGTTTTAAACATATGCATTAAAAGACTGTCTTTCTGCTCAGGTAACATGAATGTTGAATCACACAAAATACAACAAGTCATGCAGTCTCCATTAAATGCAAAAGTCTCTAAAGTTGTTTTGGAAGAAGTATCAGGAAATTTAAGTGGCCCAAAAATATGTTCCTTTTTGTCTGAAATAAAATGTCAAAGGAAATGAGTTTTATATTAAAAATTATAAGAATAACACTTACTATAGGGCAGTTAGAACCAAATTTCATTTATAAGTAAATAGAAATTATGGGGACAGGTTCATTTACATAAAAATAAAGTTTTCATGATTGTTGAAATACTGAACTACAACCTTTGAAATACACTTCTCAAATTGGAAATGACATGCTTCAATCCATTGCAAATTATAGAAAAAAAGAAATGAACCTGAAGGGGAGTAAAGCAGATCAGTACAGCTCGGAAATCTCCTAGTGAAATATTATTAAAAAAATTCAATTATTCTCTTTATTTTTTCTATAATTATCATAAAATTATGAATTTTATGCTTTAAATTCAAAATGAAGCTAAGCACAACAAATTTTTTAAAAAGGTTCATGAGAGACTTAAGAAATCATGTCATGGATTTGAATTGTTTTGCTTTTTTAAAATATAGTTTCCATTAGAAGATTATGAATCGTATTAACAAGAAATAGTTGGGATAGTAGAAAATGCAATATCTATGATAAATTAACACGAAATCCAAATCAATCAACATATATAATGAAATGATTGGAATACTGGTAACCAAAAATATGCTTTTGCTTAGTAAAATATTTTAAAATGGTAAAAAAAAAAAACCCTAACTGAAGGTGTCATCAGCTTACTCCGATGCATATTGTGTTCTTTAAGTAGTAAAATTAGTAACTTAAAAAATGTTCGGTGAAACATGATCTCAAAACCTAAAATGGGAATGAAAGGAAGAATTGACTCTGCAATGAAATGGAAATATTTGAAAACGTCCGACTTCAGAGTAATCACGGTTACACGTGCAAATACTCACTCGATTTAGCCATAATTATTTTTGACAGTTGCCACAACACAATTTCTCTATAATGTTTCAATGACAGTTATTATCGCTGCGATCAGCTGGAACCACAGAGCACCTACACTCCATCACAACGATCCCTCTATACTTCGATTTTAATAATGTGGCGCGTCAGGGCCTATCAGGGTATGGAATATCTCACGGCATTTTGCGTGATTTTGCGTCTTTCTCGGTCGTGCCACTAGATGCCGCTAGAAACATCGCACTATTTGATACGGTCGCGATCATGCGACATCTAGCGGCATGACAGAGAAAGGAGTGAAATCACGTGAGATATTCCATCGTGAAGTGGCCCCGACGTGTCACGTTATAAAAACTGAAGTTAGAGACCGGTGAGAACAAACGATCCTCGTATCCACCAGGAGCGCTACTGTCGACTATATTCCAATTCGTTTCTGACATATGATCAACTGGACGGGGTTGTCTTCGTACGACTTAATTTATTGCATTGTATCTCCCAACTAACTACTAGATAAGCGCCATTGGACGACAGAAGTCCCAATTAAATAGACGGGCGTCTCGTCTCTCCTGTACTCTCACATGTATCAATTACATTTATTGTCAACATTTGAAGAGAAAGTTCAAAATTGATCTATTTTTCGCGACCCCCCTAAAAATGTATAAGATATTACCTGCCTGTAACTAATTTTTAACGCATAGTTAACTGCTTTGTATTGTTTTTTTCTTTCTGCGTAGTCACTTCATATCTTAATTACTTCTCACTGAAGACATTGAATTTGTAGGAAAATGTACACAGATGGCTCTTAATCATAAATAACAAGAACTTGGAAAATGAACAATCATAAGGAATAATTCTTAGAAACAATTATTAGTAAAAGACATTTATTTAACTTTTAAAAACAAACATAAATTTATAGAATTGAACAAAATACCATATGCATCAGAGAAAGCTGAAGACACCTTCAGTAAACATTTTTTTAAACATTTTAAATGATCGTATTAAGCACATCCATATTTGTGGGTCCTATTCACTGTATTCATGATAATTGATTATTGCATTGTAGTTTGCCGATACGTACATAAATGGGTGACGATCATTTCTTCAATTTGTGGAGTATTGATGTTGATGCCGAAATTTTTCTAACTTCTGTTTTGTAGAACAATGTAATTCAGTTCTCTTTGCAAGTGAATGATTGCAGTACTGAATTGCTTTCTTTCTTAGCGTTTTCCAATTCAAAGGAAAGGCTGGAGATCTCCAGGTTACTACATTGTACAGAATGAAAGGGAGTAGAAATGACTTCAGAGAAATTGTAACTGACAACTTCAATTGGGACTTCTGTCGTCCAATGGCGTTTATCTAGTAGCTTAACTGACAACTTCAGAGAAATTGTAGTAACTTTCAATATTATTTCTTTGTTAATTTCACATTGTACAACATCGAAAATTCTCATACACAGAAAGACAACTTTTTTATGTAAGAGAAACAATTTTTATACCAAAAATTTTTTAAAATTATTTATATCCAATTTTTTGCTATTTCAATACAGAAGCCTTAATTATTACCACTTAAATGTTTTACCTTATCATTTACCTCTTATTTATTCTTACAACTTAAATATTTTAATATATGCATATTTTGCGATCTTAAAACAGTTAGAAATACTTTACATACAAGTCCTAGATCTTTTAGTTCTATCCACGCATGCTAAAAATAATTTCAATTGTAAAATCAATTGTTAACTTTTTCATATAATTGTACACATTTTTAAATGAAAAATATTATTTGGCTCATTTTTTTTAGATTTTACATAAAACACACTAATAATTACATAGTTTTATGTTGGGTATTTTTTTACTTATGAGGGAGTTACATCTTAAAAGCATATTTTATGGGAAATAGGAATAAACATAAACAATATGTTCATTAAATCATGAATGCATCGTATATTTGTTCTCTAAAACATACATTACAATACATAAAACAATTATTATTAAAAAATACAGTTTTTTAATTGTTAAGAAGAAATGCTAGTGCGCCCGCCATTATACACGCGTCAACTCACATATTTAATGTATCCTTATGCACAGGAAGTTTTCAAGATGTTTTTAAAACAGCTAAGATTAAGCCGCTTTTCAAAAAATGCAACAAAAATGAAATTCATAATTATCGACCAATTTCTCGTTTGTAGGTTTCTTCAAAAATATTAGAGAGACTTTTTTTTACGTACGAATGGAAACATTTCTTAGTAAACACGGCGCGTTTTCAGATTGCCAACATGGGTTTCGAAAATCAAAATTCACGGAAACAGCCATATTTTCTTTTCTTAAAGACGTCGCCTCATCCATGGTTCAAAACGAAGCACTTATTGGAATATTTTTAGAATTTTCAAAAGCCTTTGACGTCATTGATCATCACATTTTACTCTCAAAATTACCTTCGTATGGAATTCGTCGTGTCTAGATTATGTTCGTACCTTAAACAACAATCTCAGAGAGTAGAAAAACCCTACTGGATTAATGGAACATTATGTACACACCTTCCTGATTCTTTGCCAATTGTATGTGGAGTCCCACAGGGATCGATTTTAGGCCCTATTCTCTTCCTACTGTACGTAAACGGTATGCCCTCGAGATTAGAAACGGAAGAACAGTTTCTCTTTCCGGGTGATACGAATATTCTTTGCAATAAAGAAACCGTAATTAGTACAATAGCAGATATTTCAAATTGGTTCCGTAATAACAAATTAATAGTAAATGAAAATAAAACTGTTTCAATGCAGTTTTTTATTTCAAATGAACAGCTCTGCACTTCACTGAAAATGAACTGTGTGTCATTGATTAATGTTAACGTACCAACATTTTTAGGGCTTTCAATTCAGTCAAACCTTAAATGGAACTTCCATTTAAATGAATTGAACACCAAGTTCTTTATGCTAAGCTTTCAGAATACATTAAAATTCAGTCAGCCTACACACTGGTCGTTGAGTTGTTTTCGCGAATATTCATTCCCGCCTGAGATATGGCATAATATTCTGGGGAAATACATTTTATAGTTACCAGACATTTAGATTACAAAAACGAATGTACGAATAATAAGCAAATCCCACCCACGTATTCTTGTAAACCTCTCTTTATTCATCTAGGTATTTTACCATTACCTTGTCTCTTAATATATGAATCAATGGTTTTGGTAAAAAATAACTTATTTAAGGGTGGGAATATATTTTCAGCAAACGCCGTTGTCTATATCTACAACACTCGACGTAGTAATCATATTCATCAGGTGACAGTATCAACAGGTCACTACGAAAAATTCACATATAATACATGTACATTATTTTACAACACCTTGCCAGATGACTTTAAACTATTAAATTAAATACAAAAGTTTAAGTCTCAAGTAAAATCTTTTCTGCTGCACAACTGTTTCTATACAGATAGAAACTATACCGAGCATCCAAGAGGGAAGTAATATTAATTTTAACAATGGCATTAATGTATTATATACCATTTTGATTGTATAATTGTAAAGAACCTGTAACGAGTATTATACTTCAGCTTCTGGGTCAATGACACCATCTCGATCAGGTGTTCATCCTGTTTCCTCGAGCAAATGCAGATATGGCCCCGTCTTTTGCTTCTGGACATAAATGTAACTTCAAATTAACTTCTCCCCATAGCACGTCTCACACAGTTCTTAACTGTTTTTGACGTAAATAAATAAAATAAAGGTATATTAATATAAATAAGTAGAGAAAGAAAGAAAGTAAGAAAGAAAAAATATACATAAATTAATATATAGACTCATAAAAAATGTTCAAAACGCCTTCCATGCAAATTATGACATGCTAGGGCAATAATAATAATAATAATAATAATAATAATAATAATAATAATAATAATAATAATAATAAAAATGACGACTTCCTTAAACAAAACAACGAAATCATCCATCACCAATGATCAAGACAACCATTGGCTCTGAGACTAGTTCGATGGTAAGTGCGGTGTTGTAAGAATAACGACAAATGATACTCAATCGGAATGGCGTTTATTTAACCAACTTTTGAATACACAGCTTGAGTAGGAGACGAGCGTAGCACGTTTGTCACCGCGTGTCCGGCGTCCAACATCTGTGTGTCGAGCAGTCAGGCAGTCGCGGTAGTTTCTGTCGCGCACGCAAGGTGGCGCCCTTTGTCTATCATGCAACATGCGGAAAATTATGATTACCAGCCCATAGATCCAAGCAAAATCCCGCGTAAGAAGAAAAAGAAGAAAGGATGGACAAGAGGAAACCCAAGAAAATTAGCAGGATCCACGCATCCTATAGCAGCAGAACCTCATTCCAACCATGAAAAATATTATTCAATGGAACATTATCGGCTATATCTCGCATTATTGTGAGCTGAAATTGCTACTGGCCAATCACACAGCAATGTGTGTGCTTATAAGAAACCCATTTTAAAACAGAAGAACTGTTCAATTTTAGAAGTTATAAGATCTTTCGCAGTGACGTAGAACCTGACAGACAAGCTAGTGGTGGTGTTGACCTATTGATCAACAATACACATCCTGAAGTCGACACGATCTCAACACACTTCTACAAGCAGTAGCTGTAACCTTATACAGGTCATTGAAGATGACGATTTGTCACATATACTTACCCAACGCCTCACGGGAAAATGAAGACCTACAAGACCTGACCTATCAAATACAGCATCCATTTCTTATTCTAGGCGACTTCAATGCTCACAGTACCACATGACACTGTAGACCACATTGAACAAATGACTCCGGTCGCAGAATCGATGACCTGCTACTTTAACAACGAATACATACTTCTAAACACAGGAGCAAGCACTATGTTTTACGCTATAAATTGCTCATTCTCGACCATAGATCGCTCATTATTTAGTCCAAATGTTCCAAAACGGTTCACGTGGAAATCACTGCCAGATGTTCAGGAGAGTGATCACTTTCCTCTGTTGATATCATGAAACATACAATAGAACGCAGTATATTTACCGAAATGTTGGTGTACCAACTGTGCATACTGGTCCAGCTTCACCAGATCACATGCATAGAACACGAAGGAAACTAATCTGCAACCCTGACGAAATAGTCAACGCCTTAGCGACCCAATAACTCCAGAGTCAGTTACACAAACAGCTATCCTAAAGACTTTCTAGAGTAAAAGAAAGAAGAAGAAGAAGAAGAAGAAGAAGAAGAAGAAGAAGAAGAAGAAGAAGAAGAACAAGCACTAGACTTTACAACCGATACAGATAAGGCATGTAACGTTGTTTTCACATGGAGAGAATTGCAAGACGCCATAAATACAGCTGGAGACGCCGCAGCAG